CAGAGCACAAACAAACAGTGAGCATTTTATCATTTTCAAATAAGAATCTTATCGACTTTTTGGGGAACGCAATTCCCAAATCCATAGAAAACTCAGTCTGTCAGTCATCTCTTATCATTATTTTTCCTTCCTACGGCGTGCTGGTGTATGTGTGTGTGTAGGGGTCTAAACAGTGGATGAAAACATGGTACCCTCTGGAGCTCATAACCAACATACAGAAACAGTCACAATTATATACAATCACTGAGCCCAAAACTGAATGGAATGATTTCTTTTTTTAATTACCTCTCATTTGATGAAATAATTCATGTTGGTGATGCTAAAAATAATGCTACACATTGATGTTGCCTTTTAGTTGCCCTTTGCTTCGCCCTGTTTTTGATGAGGTCATAAATTAAACAAAGGCATCTCCCGCTGACAGAGTTTCATTCACATCCTGGATTCCTTCCCATTAACTCATCTTACCTTAGTTTCTTAATATATCCTCATTTGCTTAATTGTATAATCCCTGTTTTGCGGGTATCTAATTGAATTGCTTTGATGTGTTTATGGGAAACCGGGAAGAAACCAGCAGTTATTACTGCAGTGTTTTATCGTGGGAGACAACACTAATTGCTAACTAAGAACCGGCTAGTGTCGGACACTAATTGTGAAGAACAGTAGAGCAAAGCGGAGGAAGGGAAAACCAGGTTAGAAGTTGGCGTTAATTAACTGAAAATGAATGTGAATATGAAATAATGAACATAAATATCAGAATAAAGCAGCAGGGTCGGTTGAGGTGACGTTAGAAACCTGAGATATCAGGGCATCACTAATGCTAACAAGTAGCAGTGGTAGTGCAGGGAGAAAGCTATTAAAAGGAAAAAAGTAATGTAAGACTGAAAGAGCACGTTAGGTTAAACTAGGATTGCAACAGAACAAAAATAGACCAGTGGGGAAAAAAACACTGGCTAGTAGAAAGAAGCACCAACAAGAACACGGAGTCAGTGATGTGGGAAATCAATGTGTGTATTGACTGGCAGAAGTCAAGGAAGTGGGTTTTATCTGATAACACCTGATGGATGGATGAGTGATTAAAGGAAATGAATGATGACCCTGACATATACAAAATATATTCAGTTTTATTTGTGTGGCTGGAATTCAGTGGTTATCAAACTTCTAGTCTAGTCTGCAGCGCCCCCTTGCCTAGCCCTACATTACATGCAATAGCCGTTTTAGCTCTTTTGGGAACCCCTGCATCAAATACATTTTGCTTGACATACTAAACATAACCCATGAAACTGACATAAATAAAACCTTGTAAAATATTTACAGGTAGATAATCAGAGCTCAGCTCAGATAATCAGAAAGGAAGAATCGGAACACATGAAGGAAGTTATTTGTTTGTATGTATGTATGTATGTATATATCTATATATAATATTTATATGTATGTATGTGTTTATATATCAATGTCATTAAGAAAATCAACTTTAAAATGTTATTTTTTGTTAATATTGAGGGGTTTTTTCTTTTAGTGACACTGAAAATGACCTTGGATGTCTTCTTATTTTATAAACTATGTAGTGTATATATATATAATATATATATACAATATAGTATAAACTTCAGTACATTTTAAATAGTAAATACTTTCAGCCTTTCAAATTGATCTGTACTTGTAAAGTTTTTGCAGTACATACATTTCTTAGTGACGGATGTGCTGCAGCGTGGCTCAGAAGTGTCAGTGTGGAAAAACCTGGAGCTGTTCAAACTGATGCAATAACAGATCTGATTCACTGAAACTCATTACTGCTTTCAATCAAACAGTTATTTGGAGAATGTAAGTAAGTAAGTAAGTAAGAATGGAACAGAGGAACCAATAACATATCAGTTCTGTATCTGGCTGTGACAGAAACAGAGCTCAGTGCACAACGGTAGTTTCTTCAGCAGTCTAGGCCTAAGAGAGTTAGTCCAGATTCACCCGAACCATCTCTTGCTACAGTCTCCCAGTGACATGGTTTACCAGGGGAAATAACAAAAAATAAATAAATAAATAAATAATAATACAATCTGGAACCAACAAGAACATGTCATGTTGTAAAACTTGTAGGTTTCTTCCCAGTGTTTGATGTAGACATTCTGAGAGGTCCCAGAGAACAACCTTTAATAACAAAATCACCCGAAAACCTTCACCCCGCCTGACTTTGCACACCCAGGGTTGTTGGCACCTTAAACTCTGTGAACTCGCACTGCAAAAGGTCCTATTCTAAGCTGAGGTGGCTAATTAGCATTGACATTAGCCCGTGTCACCTCACAGCCTCCTGAACTGAGAAAGGTGAGGTTCAAAGTGCTGTGCATCCGTAAACAGACCTTTGAGGAGGAGGCGGACAGGGAATATGCCAAGGAGAAAAGGGGCGAAGCTACGAAAACTTTACCCCACAGGAACAAAGAGTCCACAGTCACAAACAGTTGTGTTCACTGAGATGATGATGATTTGAATCATATCTCAGACGGAATGGAATGTTATAGTATTTATTTAATCACATTTAATCTTGATTTTACTTTAAACAGGAGACGAGAGACATGAGAGGAAAAGCAGAGAAGCAGACATAACACAATGTCAGATTCAATTTTCTCTCCCCCCAAAAAACTTTAAAAAAGCTAATTTTTTTATCACTTTTGACTTCTTTTCTTGGACATTAGACATTGGATGATACAGTGTTTTCCAAACACCAGCAATGATTATGTGCAGAACCAGATCAGTCCAGATTACATGTTTTTTTCTTTTTTTTTTTGTTCTTTTCTCCAGCCCCAAACTGAATCATTTTTTGGAGAGACATAACAACTTTGTCTGAGTCTAGATTTTCCAGGAGAGGTTTTGTGATGTGGGACGCTGTGGTGCACAGGTTTGTGACTGAGGTTGGAAGATCAGACCCGGAAAAATGACTCTGTCTTTGTTGTTCTGTCCGTCTCTCTTTGCTGCGGGCCCATACAGAAACTGTTTCACCAGTTTGTTGTGACTGGTTTCCACTGGCTCTGCCTTGATCCCAGACCTCAACCACATCCAACTGTTGCACCACAGACTGCCATCACAACTTATCACCAAAACCCTCATTCTTGGACATGAGCAGTGTCTCGTGGCTCAAATCCCTTCAGCCTGGTTCCAAATCTGGGGGAAACTAAAAGATGGCACATCATAGTAGTAGCAATAATGTTGGACTAACATGAGTCTTTGCATTTGAATGGTTCTGTTGGATTATTCCTGGTCACAATGCTTCCATGGGCTCCTCGTCCAAATGTAAACAGCGGAGCTAAAGCAGTAATGAGTTTCAGTGAATCAGATCTGTTATTGCATCAGTTTGAACAGCTCCAGGTTTTTCCACACTGACACTTCTGAGCCACGCTGCAGCACATCCGTCACCAAGAAATGTATGTACTGCAAAAACACTTTACAAGTACAGATCAATTTGAAAGGCTGAAAGTATTTACGATTTAAAATGTACTGAAGTTTATACTATATAGTATATATATAGTATATAAATTATATATATACACTACATATTCTTCTGACCCTTTTTTATGTTTATAAAATAAGAAGACAGAATTTACATCCAAGGTCATTTTCAGTGTCACTAAAAGAAAAAACCCCTCAATATTAACAAAAAATAACATTTTAAAGTTGATTTTCTTAATGACATTGATATATAAACACATACATACATATAAATATTATATATATATAGTTATATATATAGATATATACAAACAGATTTATATGTATATATAGGCGTGTGTGTATGTATACATTCTTCATCCTCATTGGCTACCGTCTGCCTGACAACCAGAGGGGTTCTCAGGGGAGGGAATCTTCTCATCGCCATGGCTACAGGGAGGGAGGATGACGGCACCAGCATTAATTATTTTAGCACCAGGAGTGATGCCTGATGGGACGGTGGTGGAGGGCCAATAGTAATTAACCAGTGTCTGCTCTCACGTGTCCCTTCCTGTGCCCGGGGTGTGTAAGCAGGAGGTCGTGATGTTCTCCACTAATTACAGCATGTTCAATTTCTCATCTTTGCTCTGATTGGTTGGATCCATTGACTAAAGTGATTTGGAGTAAAATATGTGCAGAGCTTCAAATTGTTTGGTGATTTTTTGTTTTTTTCTGCTCCTGATTTATTTTGGATTTCTGAGACATTGTTAGCACCTCAGTGCTTTTGCACCTGTGTGGTTTCACACAAACACATACGATGACTAAAACCACACAGACTTGGTGGTCTACTCCAAACTAATTGGATCAGGGATGATTTTATTCCATCATGGCCTATAATTTTGCTTTCAGTTCAAGAAAGTAGAAAATAAAAGCAAATGTGTTATGTTTGGTTACAACTACAGTATATTTTTATTTTTACTTTTAAAAACTTCACCCACTGGCTCAGTATGGGTCGTCTTCCACTCAAGGAGTTGGCGTTTGCTTTTAACTTCAGCTGTTCTTTGTCTTGTTGTGTTTTCAGAGCCACCTAACCTAAAGTTGTTTATTTTACCCACAGAACAACATCATCTTAGCTCTCAGTTCTGGACCGCGACCTAATAAATGACAAGCATGGATTAAAAATCTGTATCTGGTTATACATGACAATCTGACAATCTGCTCTGATGAGCACTGAGCAGCAAATAATTTAAAAAACAAATAAATAGAGACTAAACATTAATATAAGCAATTAGCCACAAAATAATTGACCATTTCTTAGATTTATGCTGTGCTTTTCTTACCCACGACCCTCATAACTGTCTTGTTACTTTAGATGTTGACTTGTGTCTAATGAAAAGTCTGTGCTTTAGTCGAGTCTAAATGCCAAACACTGTCACTGTTGCAAAATGTAATAATCCAAATGTCATGAAAATTGAATGGTCTTATTAAATCCATGCAAAACACAACACAGTTACTCATTTTTTTCCCTTTTTCAAACTGTGTTTTTATGCACCAGAGTTGCATAAAAACACCCACTGGATGAATGAAAAGTACCAGATAATACAATAAAAAAGGGTGAAATATTTTTTCATAGAGCATAAACAACATTTATTACGACTGTGTGTTCGTGCTCTTGCATTGAACACCACTTCCTAAAATTTCCGGAGATTTATTTTTTTATTCGAGTGATTGAGTTAAAAGACTGATGCGCACTAAAATAATCTGACCTAATCAGTGAGTCAGCTGCTGTACATCTTGAATATCCGATGAAGGAACATCTCTGTATGGCTCACTGTGATTTGAATGAGTGTTTTCCAATGCACTGCCATTCAAATGAAGCCACGGTACAATTTTAGATCTGATGTGATGTGATGCACTGACAGAAGGCTTTAAATCTTTTTTGCACAGAGATGATTTTTTTTCTTTCTTTTTTTTCCTGTAAAAACGATGAGATCATTTCTCCAACAGAGAACTCTTGCTCCACTTTGGCATGTTTTATTCAGAGATGACATCATGCTACTGGAAGCCTTGAGCTTCACTCTTCACTGAAGGTCATGTGAAGCACAAACCGGGCTGAAGAAAGGAAAGAAAGACAGACGGAGAGAGTGTAGTAATGGCGGTGATGGTGATGATCAACAACCAAAGCATTTCAGTTTCCAAAAACTCTGCACTTTCCCGGTTCCTGCTTCTGGTGATTTTCCTCCAAACTTCTGTGAAGCAGAACCCTTATCACACATAGTGTATCCACCCACACAGGCAAGCGCACACCTACACAGACTCACACCAGTTATGAGCTTCCCACATGGATAGACACAACGTATGAACACACATGCCGACTTGCCCCGCTGAAACTCTTCACTCTGCACTCTCAAACTTCCAAAACTGCTTTCCGCCTCCTCACCTTCTGTCTCTACTCCATGTCCGTCTATCTTTCCATCTCCCTATCAGTCTTTTAATCTTCTCTTCCCTCATCTGTCCTCCTCCACTCTCTACACAGTGTGTGCGGGAGATACTGGCATGCGTCTCTCTCTCTCTCTCTTTTTTTTTTTTTTGGCAGCAAAGACTTGTCTCTGTGTGTCTATGAATTCTGGGAATGCGGTGTCACAGGAAAATGAAGGACAAAAAAAAGAATTACACATGGATTAAATGGTGGTAATAGTTGAAATGGTAATATTATAATTTATAATTATCCATCAGCATTTGAGGGTGTTGATGGGCACGAGTTACCCAGTCCCGACCATAGACTGTTTAAAAATAAGGGCGTCACCTGGATATGCCATCTTAGGTGCAGTACCACAAATGATCAGCAGGTGCTTGCCTTATTTCATGCTAGCTTCAATGGTCTGGACTTGTTTAACAATTTAATTATATAGAGAACAAACAGCTCTCAACCCAGTCTTAGACGTAGAGGTGCTAATATAAGGAACGTGTGAAGAATCATGGGTATGATAGGGAAGCAGCAACGAGAAAAACTGTTGTCTGACGTCCAAGTTCCATGTCAGATGTCCATGAGTTAAAGCTGTTGTAGTTGAGGGTTTAGGACATGACTCACACAGGACATGTTTTCACAATCAACAAAATGACTTTGATTGAAGTTTGTATTCCTAACGAATGTCAGAATGCCTGGATTGGACGGAGACCTGGACCAATGTTCAAAGTCCTGACTTGTCCTTGTGATGAACTCAACATAATCGTCCTTATTTGGTAAAAAGATGGAAATCTGGACAACCAGGCAGAAGCTGCAGTGTTCTGGTGCAGTTTGGTTGCTTTTATCTTTGTGCTGTGAAAACCCATTATATTTTTAGTTTTACTGCATTTGGCCTAATTCCATATCACAGCATTGTTCTCTCTGATTCACATTGATCCTGATTCAGATCCAAACATCATGACAGATGTTTTCACAGCTCAAAAAACCCAACAAAAACACACACACACACACAGTGATAACGAGACGTCAGTGGCAGGTTAATGACTTCTGGCACTGAGGAGCAGTGCTGCTACAACACTGACGTAAAAAGACAAAAAAAATGATCTATTTTCTGTGTCAGGTGATGATCTGCATGTGTGGTATGCACAGGTTATTTTGACGCATTCGTCTTTCTGCAGACAGTCCAAAAAATATTTTTGGAATCACAGCTAGCTTTGTAAAGAGGTTTTCCCAGGGACACACTGGCATGTAGCTGAAATCTGACCACCATCAAACTAGGGTAGAAGTTAATGCTGTAATCTCTATGTGCCTTCCTCAAAGCAGTTTTAACGTGACACAAATTACAATACAACCAATACATAGTAATCATCATCATCATCATCCTCATCATCACCACGGTCGTTACATCTGATTAGCTAAATCTTGAAAATCTAAGCTGAAACTGGAAGCAAAGAAAAGCCAGGAATACCTTCACTGTCCCAGGGAAATGTTGGATCGACGCTTAATCCACCACTGGGTGTGCTGTTGCTCTCATCCAATGACTTGGATTGGCTGCTCCCTCACCTGCGACCCTGAAAAGAATTCAGGAGAATGGACATTAGAAATCAGCCCTGTTCAGTTCAAACTGAGTGCTTATTGGCTGGCAGAACATTTGAGCTTCAGCGGATTCGCAGTACTTTACTATTTACTTGTAACCACACGTCTGCCAGATAAATGGAGCACAGAGAGAACAGAGGTTTATGTCCTCTGAAGTGTCCATCAGAAGACTCTGAGTGTATAGATCAGGAGAACAAACAGAGTGCATGCGCAGCCTCCTTATCGCTCCTCTCAGCTGCTCCTCTATCTGCTCTGAATCATCTGTCTTTCATTTGAATAAATGCCACTGGTATCTGATATAAATATTCATATCGTTGCTTAAATATCTTCCGCAGGTCCACGAGGTTCGGCCTTCATATCTCCACGCTCCGAGGGCCGGCCTATCGAAACATCAAACATTCATCTGCGGTTCCTCCTCGGCTGCTCGCGAACACGCACATACATCACACTCAACGGCACGTACGCAGTGGTGAAAACAGCCGTGGCAGTGATGAAATGTATTTATCTTTAAAACAGCAAAGCTGACTTGGAATTCCAGTCATTGTTCCACTGCATCAGTCCAATCCTCCGTTCCTTCACAACGCTGAATCCCACAACTATTTGGTCACATATTTCTGGTCACATATTTAGCGGGGCCATTTAAACTGCAGCCTGTTTTGGACAGAGTTGGTCGGTTCATATTATTAAGCCATATTTTACCATTAGGCTGTTATTACAGGGGCTGTCAACAGATGAACATTATTAATCTGATTGTTCACACAGTAGCTGTGGATTAATCACAGCTGATCATGATTAACTGGCATCTTAATTAATCATAATTAATCATCATTACTCCAAATAAGTCAATGTTCCCAAATATGAGAAAAATATTCTGTGTTTAGCAGCAGGTGAATGTGTTTCACATTTGTCACTAATCCAAATGATGGAGTTTTAAAAATGGAAAATTGTGAAGAAAAATAAGAGTATCAATGTGATTCTGGATAAGTCAGCGGTCGTCTGTAGACTTACTGACCGTCTTTACTGACCAGTCAGGCACCAGCCGTGTGTCTGATCAATGAGATGATTTTAAGCTCCGGGTGCTTTGGTGAAACTAAAACCTTCTCAGTGTGTATGAATTTGTTGGTATCCACGGTGCTTTGGTGAAACTAAAACCTTCTCAACAAATTCTCTGTGGATGAATTTGTTGGTATCCACATGTTTTTTAAAAAAGGTAATACATTCTGGACAAAATGTCAAAGCTGCTCTCATTTCCTGGAAGTTTTGATTATATTTATTAAATCGCCAGGGCTTTAGACTTATAAATCAAAGCTTAAAGCGACATGACATTTTTAAGTCAGCATGGCAAAAAACAACCCAAAATAAAACAAAATTTGACATCCAATGAATATTAGGTAAAAGTCTGGAGCAATATTTCAATTATCTATGACTCTGACATTCAGAAACTTTAATTTTTCACTTGCCTAAACTGCAGGGTCAGTAAAGTCAAATAATGTGTGAAAAATATATTAACCATTATAATAAATGTATAATCTATACGTGGTCTGTAGTTCTCAGTAGGCCACTCTAGAAGGATACGGAGCCCCGGGTGAAACCGGCCTCTTGTCAACACATCTGTTCACATGACTGAAGTTAACATAATTATATTTAAGCTATAGGCTGACAGAGTACTGTGCATGTGAGTATAAGTGTGTGTCCCCGCTGTGACGAACCACAGGCAACGAAATCTGTCCTGTTTTTCAGGATAGCTGCAGGATAAAGAGAAATCAGGAACAGAAGACAGAGAGCTTTTTAATTCCATATGAGCTGAGGCACCCTGGTATTATTTTTTTAGACCCCCCCCCACCTCCCCCCCTCACTGTTTTCCTTCAGGACTCCACCACTGAGATCTGTGTACATCTGTCTATGAGTGTGTGTGTGTGTGTGTGTGTGTGTGTGTGCAGCCACCTGCTGAGAAGCACAACTGAATGTAGACTGGGGTTTAGGCGTCAATACTTCAGGGTCTGTCTGATAAGCTCTGCCTGAGGGGAAGAAGAAAACCAAAATAACAACCAGAGAGAGAGAGAGAGAGAGAGAGAGAGAGAGAGAGAGAGGAGGTTTCACCACAGAGAAAACACAAGTGTGATGAGGGACAAAGATGACATGACAACAGAACACAGTAGCAACATGAAATGTCATTATTTCGGGGGTTGATTGTCACATTTTTTCCATGCAGAAAAGAAATAAAAACCTAGATGTGAGTGACGTGCTGCTTTTCTTTCTTTTATTTTTTTGTGTTTTCACGTCGGGTCAGATCTTTGCTGTAAATACAGCAAGACCAGGTGCAACAACTACTACTACTACTGTATCCCTTGAGAATATTAACGTCTGTTTGGTCGTAATTACAGGGATGAGGTCAGTCAATGCAGTCAATCTCCTAAAAAGACTCAAAATATTTTTTCAGGACAAAAAATGAGCAAATACAGTTTTACAGATACAGATTATTTTACTGACCACAGGCAACAAACCCAAAAACAATTTGTCTGTAAAGACGAAGACACTGAGCTGCGTCCTCGCTGATGATGCAGGTAATGACTTGTGCCGAAGCCTATGATTTAATTTATGTCAGCACTGTGGGGTGTGAAGGAATTATATATGATATCCTGGCCAACTTAATTAGATTTATGGCATCTGAAGAAAGCAAAAAAAAAAAAAAAAAAAAGCAGCGGTCGCCTTGGAAAGAATGTTGGGAATTAAATCTAGAACAGATTAGATATCAGTTACAGAGTGAAGAAAAATATCAAATATCAAATTGTCAAACACTATGTATTTTAATTCCTCATGATCATATTTGTTTCCCTTTATTGCATTAAAAACGTGGTACCATCGGCCCGGCGGTTTAACTCACATGTTTGATTCCACTCTACCTGAACCTTGTCTCATTTCTCAGTCTTATTTATCTTCATTTCCTCTTGTACAGTATGTCACCAACTTAGTTGAAGTGGTTACATTTTTTTTGTGATTCCACTGAGACAAAAAAATAATAATACACTACTGAAAAACAACCTCCTGAGTAGAGGAGATAAGGCTGAGGGTATTGAAATGAAATTACTTTTTCCTTTTCTTTTTGAAAAAAAAAAAAGAGAATAATTCAACTGTTGAGTCCAAATTCTACAGTGAAGCCAAGCAGAAAGAGGACGTACTTGTGCATGTGTGTGCGTGTGCGCATGTTTGTGCGTGTGTCAGTGGTGAAGGTCAGCAGACATGTTTGGGGGGATTTAATTGGGATTTCTTTTTCCTTCAGCTTTAAAAATGTGCAGCAGAGACAACATTGAAAATAGGTCAAGGAAATGTGAAGGTGAATGGTTACCCTTCTCAACCACACACACACACACACACACACACACATCACAGTGGTACTGTATGTAGAAAGGTTCAAAACAGTTGTGTTTTGTCCTGTGGTTAGAAACCTTTCAAAGGGGATTTTGCTGGATATAAGACTTTAAATTATTTTTTGTTTTATTTTGAAAAGAAAAGTAAGAACAACAACGTGAAGAACCAATGATTTAAATGAACTAAATTAACTATTTAGACTTTATTTAGACTCAAGTGTAGTTCAAATGTTTGGCATTTGTCTATATTCAGGTTGTCTGTCTTTTAAGTTGTTTTAGAAAATACTTTATACTTGTTTGAGGCACATGTTTGTGTATTTTCTATTTTTTATATGTACAGTACTTATTCTAATACTGAATTTCCCCAGTGTGAGATGAATAAAGTCTTAACAAAGTTGGAAATTTACAGTTTTGAATTTTATATATATATATATATATATATTAAAAAAACCCACTCAGCAACAAACGTGTTTTGCTAATTCTGTTGGTCTGTTTTCCATCATGTTAAATCACAGCTTTCTTTCTTTTCTCGGGCGTCAAATCCAAAGCAGACTTTTTGACAGGAGTACTGTCACATCAACAATGAACAATCGCTCTGGAGGTGTAACCAGTGATTTGAAAAATTGGACAAGTACCTGCAGGCTAAAAGTGATGACCTGGAATCGAGACTGCCCTCCAAATGCAGGTTCTTTTACAAAGGTTTTCAGTGTCAATGAACACATTGACCCAAAACCCACTTCCTTTTTTCTCCACATGTGAAAAGCTTCCACAGACTGAGTCACTGTGGCAGTGACGCAGCTTCAGAGCATCTGGTTCTTACTTGTCTAATACTGAAACTTTTTTTTACTGTGAATGTACATTGTTACTCCTTTTTTGCATTAACTTTTGACTAGACCAGACGAGTGTGGAATCAAATCCACAACCCTCCCGTGGCTGCTCTGCTTCGACTGTGCAGCCTGTGTACATTTTACTTTTTCACAATGAGTAGAAACTGTCGGCTGAATTGCCCATTGAGGAATGAGTACATTTCTCTGGATGTGAATGTGAATATTTCTCAGCAGACTTATGTTGTTAAGTTGTTACACAAATGTGACCAGAGACATTTATGTGCCATAAATCTAAGACTCCCCATCTTCTAATGGGAGCACAGAATGAGGCACTGCACCGACAATAAGGATGGTTAGTGTGTGTGCGTGTGTGTGTTGTTGAACTCTTTATATTTGCGTAGCTGTGTGATCCTTTGCCGTCACACGTGTGCACGAGCTCCTACTTCCATTGTGTGTGCGACAGTGACAAATGGACCCGGCCTCCACTCTATCACTGAAGTGGCCGCTGCGTTGTGTGCGCTTGATAATGGCTAACAATAATTGCCGTGTGACTTATAATGACTTGTAATTACATCATGTATTTCATAAGCGGGTCCGGAGCTCGTTCCGTGTCCCGATTTGCGTTTTCTCTTTTTTCCACACCCATGTAAACATCGTCACTTCCGTGGCACTGACAAATGACCCAGTCTGCAGAATACACAGCATGGGCCGCATCAGCACGAGGTCTAATTCAATTTAGACCAAATTTGTTCTAGCGAGCTACTCATTAGGTCGGAGGTTTGTTTGTCTTCAGAAAACATTAGCTGAAAGTAGATCCATAAGCTGTAATTGAACTCTTGTGTAAATAAAGCAGACGACACAGAGTCATCATTCAGTGTAATGGCTTTCATCTGTTTCACTGATAGTATTAGATATGAGACAAACAGGAGGAGACACTGGCATATGAACATAATTAAT